CGTGGAGTCCAGCACGCCGTATTTACAAGGGTGGTTTTTCAGAGCATGAAATATTTGTTTTATTGAGGTCAAGGCATGGAAAGAAAGACAAATTTATTAGACAAGATCAGAAAGATTAGACCCAAAGCTTCAATTCTTAGCACCCCAATTGCTGGTATGTTTGCAATCAAGATCTACTATCTCTGGCTTGAGTCCTTCTCTAAAGTAAATACACAAAGTAAATATTTGTAACTTTTGTGGCTAGGATCTGCTTTGGATAAATGTTTTTGCAGTGTCTCGTGCTATGATGCTTCAAAGCCAACCGGAGCCGTTTGGCACTAGCCCAAATCAATTGATCACTTGCAACGGCGACGTCTTTTCCCTTTATTTAAGAAGGACAGAGCTGCTGATTTATTTTCAGAACTTTCCAGTCCCTTCTGTTGTTTAAGCACGACGCACTTTGCACTAGAGGCACTTTGTGGGGGACTCCTCCACTCGTCCAGCACTTGGGATTTCGATGCTGTGTATCAGCCACTGCCTGGAAAATAAACAGATGCTGTAAGAGGACCCACGGTCCCCTCTCTTGGCTGCAAAGCAAACCAGGGAATTACAGGGACCACCGCAAGGTGGGGCTTGTGGCTTTGGATAATTAATATTCATTAAAGCCAACTCGTTAAGGCAGAGCAGAGGCGACAGCCTCGGCGCCTGCAGACATCAGGGCCAGCCGGGCTATCGAGCAGGGGGTGGATGTGGAAGCCTGTGGCTTTTTGAGTTGTCATTAGAACATGAATCAGTCTAGATATTTTCCACATTTTTTCCGTGTTTTCACTGAAAACCAATAATAATAAAAAGAATGCAGAAAGTGAGGCTGAAGTTTGGATTTTATGCGGTCTCTGTGTGTCTAGGGATAAAAGGGACTGATATTGCTGTATCGTGACTCACATGGGACCGTGCAGGACCCCTCTGTGGCTGCGTTTGCCCTCCGTGTCCATCAGTTTGTGTCCAGCGTTTGTATCTGTCATTTCTCTCTCAACACTGTTGCCCTCACAGGGACATTATTGTACTGAGCAGGCACTGTGCAAAATTAATAAAGGCTCTGGAATCTGATTTAGAACCAACATTTATTCCCCCTGCGATACCACGTAGGCATCGGGAATGCATTCCACAGTCCGCGTTTTCAACCTTAACACTCTCTGAATCTCAGTCTCCAACGCCAGGCGAATGTATTAATTAAGTAAAATGAGTAATTATTTCCTTTTTCCTAGAAAGGACTTACCTGATAGGTTCCTTGCTTTGATTGGTATGCTGATAATTCTTTTTTTTTTTCAGTAGGTCATGTTTTTACACATTCTTCAACAAAACCAGAGGTTTGAGAAGGAGCCATACATGAAGGTTTTTGGAATAGAATTATTTGAGCCTTCGGGGGGAGGGTTTCCCTTAAGAAAACAACCTGACAGCTCCAACTAAATGCATTTTCAGCTGATGAAACCCATAAACTTTACTTCTTGATGAAGACATAGAAAACGTTGATTGAAATGAGTTCATTTCAGCTTTCGGGCTTGTTTGGCTTTGTTTTATAAAAAATGTCCACAGCATTGAAAAGCTGTAAAAGGCAGAAACTCCCCAGCAACAGCAGACTCCTTTGATGTAAAATTTTTGGCCCATTACCCACAAATATACATAGACACAAAGAAATCATCCAACGATTCTGGCAAAGGGAAGCTGCATTTTTTCCTAACAGGCACGGTTAGTTATCTTTCCGTAAACTCAAGTCTCTGTAGCTCCCAAATGGTATCTAAACTTTACTGCTAAATAGAGCAAAATGGGGCAAAACACACAACGTATTTGGAAGGCTTCTGCAAAGATGTGTTTTTAAGACCCGGGAGAGCATTATCAGCCATGAACTGAGCAATACCCTTAGAATTGAATTTTCAAACAATAGTGGCAAAATGCTTTTTCTCTTCTCTCTCATCATCCACATGAGTATTTCTTAAACAGCAAGTATGTATTAGAGAAATAGCTAGATTTTAGTCATAAACAAATGTATTTCCACGCTACTCGGGTTTGAGTTCTGTTTCTTTTGTCTTCCAGGGAATTTTCGCTGTTAGGTGCTCTGAAAGGCACATAGTGACATCTAGTGATTGGATTGCACAGGGCGACTGAACGGGGAAAGGAGAGGAATTCCGGATGAGTTTGGTCCTTCTGAAGGTTTGATAGCAATAGTAAATACAGAAGCATTTCTGAAGAAATGGCAAATAAAATTCTCATGGTGACTTTTTGTAACAAAAATGCAAAAAGAATTTATGTCATAAAATATCTTAATTTTGATGAAAATTCATTTAAAAATGGTAAAAGTTAGCTATAGGCTAACTGTGTTATTTAGGATGACTTGCTTAGTGAAAATACTGATGCCCACAAGATGCTCCAATTTCTATTGCAGCAAAGAGGCTGCCATGTGTTTAATTAAATGTGAGACTAAGAACACCAAAGATCAGTTTTAAGCTTCTAATCTGTTACAGGCTCCGTGTTCTTCTGTAATCCATGAATTCTGTTTTCAGGCAACTTCCTTGGCTACTGGCAGAAATCCTAATGTGCATCTTGCTCGGCTGATCACCAGCCTGTCTTTAGTAGTTCCTTTGACTTGTGTTATTTGTGTTGTTTTTCCCCTCCTTGCTCTGTTCCCTTCAAAAGGAATTTGATCATTTGTATTAGAATTGAAACAGCAAAGGTCGTATAGCTGAAGAGTTTCCCATCTTAGGCTCAGTGCTCTACAGTTGGCCTTTATTTACCTTAGACTCTTCGGCCTTGGAATAATTTCTGAACCAGCTTCCTTTTCACATGGGATGGAAAAATGGGACTCCTTTTTTGGGTGAAAAAAACATCCATCACTGAAGACTTGTCCCAGAGACCATTTAAAGACAAGGCTTGGCCACATCCTGCGTAAATGAGAACCAATAGTTTAGGGACAAAAAAATCCTTTTTTCTGGCTGCTTTACAGCCATGCCCCTGCATTGCTACCAGTGCAGAGGGCGGCTGAGCAGATGTCTGTATTTATATTGCAGCCCGCTAAGCGCAGGGCACAGATGTGCATCACAGTAGTGTTGTTTTTAAGCTGCTATTTGAGGACTGTGGGGAGAATTAACCAAAGTCAATAATGTAAATTACTTCTATAAGCAGCTATTGGTATAAATGGATGAGGAGTTCTCACTAGACATGCAGCAGATTTTGGATCTGCAACTCAAATCCCAATATTTTGAACAATGAACCACTAAATTCAAGGACTGCTTGATATGTAGTTCTTATGGACCTTAAAGCACTTCCTTAAACAAATGTAAAACATTTAACAATCTTGGTTTTACTATACATAATACATTTTCAATACTTATAAATAAATATCACAGTCATAAGCACTTAATCACATATATACACAAAATACTAGTTTAACTGATATAGCAAGTAGATATTTTTACAATGCTAAAACCAATTTAAAGTTATTGTAATCTTGTTAAATAGTAACTTCATGTTTGAGAATAACACACCTTGCTGTACAGCACACCTGCCTGTCAACACATGAACATGCATTAGAATGGACACATGCTAAAATAATTCATTTTTCGGTATCTTAATTTGCTTTTTCTTTTTAGAAGGAAGTTGAAGACTTTATTCAAATTTTCAAAGTAGAGAATTATCATTTGCTCCAAAAGACATTCTTAATCCTCAATAAGTTAATTAAAACAAGAGATCCAAGAACAAAAAAAAATATATATTCTTGATTCCTTTGGCATAAATTGTTAACGTGCAGATCTAAAAAGCAAAACCAGAAAGACATCAGCACTAACTGTTTTTTCTTTGCAATTTGTCTCTTCCTGCAAGTGAGAGGGAGACACTGGCACAGGGAAAAAAGGAAAATAAAGCTGTATAAAAGTGCACTGTGCAACAAACAGTAAAACTGATCACTAAAAACATGCCCTTCAGACATAAAAGAACTCTGCTTATACTGAAAGATCTGTGGCTACTTGCTCTTGGCTACAAATGGGATTTATTTTCTCAGTTGAGGTACACAAGTTGGGATGGACATGTCTAAAACTCTGAATTACCGCCCCACTAGTCTAATCCTGCTAATTTATATTTACAGAAGTAATCCAAAACAATATAAAGCTACTGGGCTACAACATCTGACCATAGTATTCAGGAGGATTACTTATTGTTTTAAAAGTAAAATGTTTCTTCATATGCAGTTTGTTTGGAGGATAAGCTAAGAGCAAAACCTAAGCCTAACAACCGAAGGCTTCGTAGCGTTAACTACTGGATCCCAAATAATAGAGTCTTATTTCTGCAAAATACCATAATCCACCCACCTTTCCAAATACAAACTTACTCTGTAGCTGCCAGATAATTTATATACAGGATGTCTTTAAAACAACCCAAATAAAATAGAGACCAGTTACCCTAACAATTCCATTCTTGTAGGTTTGAACACTCTCCGAAGAACAGACTCTTTTTCCCTAACTTGAATATCCTGTGCAAAACTGTTCCCTTTACTTAGATGCTTATGTCTATTTCCAGCTACCTGTGCCCGCTGGCAACAGCAACCCATCTGCTGTCCCATTACAATCTTCAAGCCTTGATGCTTCTTCCTTGAAAATAATCAAACCGTAGCTGTTGGCTTCCCAATCCCGTAGATGGCACAAAGACCTGCCATGACCTATAGCAAATAAATCTTAGAATTCGTTAAAGATCTTCCAGCAGATCTATATCTAAGTTCTCTCTCCCAATTTTTTCATACTATCTGTATTTTGTGACCTATTTTTGCCTACATTTCTGTACTGCAAGCCTCTCCATGTTCTCTTTTTGCCTCCTATTTCTGTTTTTTGCATGTGTACGTCATGCCACATCAGTAGCTCTTAGGAGTTTCAGGGTTACATCGTGAATCGAGCAAATCCTTGAGTAATTTTGAGCCCAAATTACCGGGGTTGTCCCCACATGACTGTAACCGAGCCCGGAAAGTCCTTTGACTTTTCCTATTTTGGATCGTTCACGGGATGCCATCTTTCCTTTGGCAACACTGTGAGGGAGGCACTCCCCAGTCATACACGTAGGAAAGCCTGAGCTTAACCTCCTCCTTACAGAGCTTCCCTTCTTTCGCAAGGGTCTGGTGCTTTTCCAGCATGTCCTCGATGCTTTGCTTATGAGTTACTATGTACTTATTGTTGCAGCCCCGCGACTTATACTCGGTGTCAAAGCGAGGGTCGTGCACTCGCTTCACGTCAACGGGAGCCAGCCAGACCCCCAGGGAGACATCTTCGCTCTGCCACGTGTTCAAGTAGTCACGGGTGAGATGCAAGTAGTGCACCAGGTCTGCAGAAATAACGTAACCGCCACCCAACGCGTAGGGCAGGTAGTAGTCACAGAGGACCCAGTCGCTCTCTTTCCATTTGCCACCAGATTTCACCCGACCGCGGCCAGAAAAGAAGCCCCAGTAGAGGCGCCGGGGCTCCTTGGCCCTCAGCTCTTCCACGAGCACGTCCAAGCGCACGAAGGTGTCGTCATCGGCCTTGAGGGCAAACTGGAAGTCCAGGTGCTGATCCAGCCACGTGTAGGCGGCCAGCACCTTGGAGGTGAGGTTCTCGTAGGAGTCACGCAGCTCGGGCAGGAGCAGGAGGTCCCGGTGCCGGCTCTGCTGCAGCTCCAGCCTCCGCAGCTCCTCGGCGCC